GATCTGCTTGATCGATTTGTTGACTGCGAACTGTTATATGATTGAATGTTATGTGCACAGGGTTGGTCAGACTGGAGTTTGACCCGATATGCATGGTTGTTCTATGTTATGTTATGTTATGTATGCTTTTTATGTTATGGGCCGGAAGGCAATACGTTATGGGCCGGAAGGCAATATGTTATGGGCCGGAAGGCAATATGTTATGGGCCGGAAGGCAATATGTTTTGGACCGGAAGGTCGTGGCCTGGAAGGGCGTATAAGTGGTTGGTATTTGGGGGGTATCTCACTAAGCATTCGGGCTTACAGTTGTGGTTTAATGTTTTTTTTCAGGTTCTTCAGGAGACTGTGGCAAGGCAAAGGCATGATCGTACCGTTCCTCGCGTTTATGTTTTATGAAATGAACCTGGGAATACTCTGGTAAATAATGTATTGAAAACCCTTTTGTAAGAATATTATTAAAATGGATGGTTTTGAAAGTTTAAATTATGTTGAAATTTTTGGTCATTACAAGTTGGTATCAGAGCCTTGGTTTGAGTGAATTGGAGGAACACTCGTGTGACTCCAGTCTCAAATCGAGGAGGGTTTTAAAAAGAGAAAATAAAATGGTTTTCAAATTAAGTAAAAGGAGGACGCGGAGGTACGATCAGCCGGAGCCAGTAAGTAACCCCAAATTACCATTCATGACATTTGTTTTATTGAGCTTTGATAAAACAGCATGCTAGTGTTAGGCTAGGGATCTTCAGGATTTCATGATGATGTTGCCTGTTTTATGATGCCTACTAGCCTAGGGTTTTCCTCTATTGAGATTTTCAGTGTTCCTCTAGGAGTGAGGATCGAGCACTTGCTATGTATAGTTGTCACTAGAGTGTTGTGGTAGTACTTCATACAAATATGGGTAGGTGTGGAAGGTAGTATGGGCCCGTACTACTGAAAGCACAGGACCCATACACGTATCAGGGAAACCATGACCTCTAGGGTTGGGTTGAGAGTTGGTTCCCGGATTGGTGGGAAGTGTCTGAGGTTTTGTGGGTTGTTTTCAGTATGGAGATTTCGAGGCATGCTGGGAGTGGATCCGGGTCAGGATCGGGTGCAGGAGAAGGAGTTGCGGACGGATCAGTACCGCCCGAGGTTATTGGTCAGATGAGTACGCACGAGTTAGATGCGAGGATTCGGGAAATCCTGCATGATGAGTTTCCAAGTGAGTGACCAAGTTCTTTAGGATAACTCACTCTGGGAATGGCTTAATACGCTTCGTAAAGCGTGGAAAGCTAAATCCAAGTTAGACAGGACCCCCGAGATTTTTATCAGAATCGGTCCTGTGCCTCGCACAAACTAGACCTACTCCGCGAACTCAGTAACGTACTTTCTACTCTTCGCTTCTCGATCGTGAAACCATACCTTTCCGTTAGGACTCTTGCAAGTCCACTCGTCGAGATCCTCGTCTTCGTATTAGAACCGTAGTGACCCTCGACCGAGAGGTCAAGCGGACGAAGAAACATCGTCGCCAGTTAGTGAAGGTTCGTTGGAATGCCAACCGAGAACCCGATTTCACTTAAGTGCGCTAGAACCAATCGATTAGGAAGTTTTCTCCTCACGACTCGATCATTCGTGCATACTTCCTTGCCTAAATTCTAATTTCGGGATGAAATTCCCTTTAACAGGGGGATGATGTGACAACCTGAAATTTTTCCATTCTAATCAAACCATTTCAATCCAATAGAAGTAGAGCAGTTACAATGAAAATTTAGACTTAGAATATAAGTTTGGCAGTTTCAGGGTTTTACACCAAAAAGGGGTATTAGGAGAGTGGTTGCACTAGGATTTTGTGAAACACTGTAAATTCCATTACCCTAGATCATTAGAATCCATTCCGAGAATAGAAATATTTTCTGCCAAAATATTTCAGGACTATAAATAGTTTTCTGAACCAAATTTATTCATTATTCACATTTCCAACTAGAGAAAAGCCATTTTCTCTCTGACGGATCTTCGGGTTTTTATCCCAAATTGTGAGTAACTCTTTCTAGTAGTGTTAGAAAGCTTTAAATGTGTTCATAACATAGATTACATAGCTAAATCATCCGATTTAGGAGTTTACTTCCCAAGGTGTTCTTGAGCGGTAAACTCCCGAAACCGAGCCTAGATTGTCCCCCGTGCTTAGTAACTACCTTGTACATGTATAGGAGTGTCTTAGGTACAGGAAATCAGCCAAGAAACACCCAAAAGTTAGGAGTTTACGACCCAAAATGTTCTATTGTCGTAAACTCCCTTAAAACATGCTCAAATGGTGTTTTTAAGGCACCTAAAGCTTGGACTTTATGTTAGACAAATACCCTAAAGTATCTAGGACCTAGAAAACATAAGGAAAGCACATGTGTTGAAGAGTTTACGGCCAAGAGTAATTCTTGGGCCGTAAACTCCTTTAAAGAGGTCAAATGACACCCTAAACACTTCCTTAGGCCAAGGGACAATTTGGACAAGTACCTAGATGAGTTTTGGACTAGTTAAAATACTTAGAACACAAATGGAGAGGGAGTTTACGGCCCAAAAGGTTCCATGGCCGTAAACTCCATAAAATGGTGCTAAATGAGCCATAAACTCTTCCAAAGCCAAGAACAAAAGCCTAGAATTGTTCCTAGTTATTGTAGAGACTTGAAAGCACCATAATCACCCTCCCAAGGGAGTTTACGGCTGTAAACTCCAAGGGAAAAGGGTCTTTGGGCCGTAAACTCCCCAAAGGAGTCAATATGGTGCCCAAACACTTGTATATGCCTTGAAACAATTCCCACTAAGGTTGTAGTAATTGAAAGTACCATCCCAAGCCTTGGTTGGGAGTTTACGGCAGGAACTTACTCTCTTGGGCCGTAAACTCCAAAGAATATGGTCTTTTGACCTTAAACTCACATTAGGGGCATTGCACTCCTTTGTTGCAACCCATTAGCCTCCTAGCACTTGACCAAAAGTGTTTCCTCGCGCTTAAATGTTATTACTTGTATAATTAGTGTTAAAATCACTAATTATTTATATACATATGTTTTCATATGTAATTAGGATCATTGTGTGTGTCTAAGTCTCCACTTGACACCAAGCACTTGTCCGATCCTTCCGTACGATAACAGTCCGTTCAATTCCAGTCACTTACTGCAGGTGAGTTCATACCCCTT